TCCTTTTATTAGTCTAGGTATCGAATTTGCAATTGGAGCATTAGCAGCAGTGGGTGCTGGATTTTTTACAAATCCAGTTGACGTTATAAAAGTACGTTTACAATTACAAGGAGAGCTAGAAGCGCGAAATTCATACAAAAAAATATATAAGAACACCCTGCACGCAGCATATTTAATAGCGAAACATGAGGGTGTACTTGCTTTACAAGCCGGTATTGTGCCAGCTCTCTATTTTCAAGTGGTGCTCAACGGAATACGGTTAGGTATCTACAATATAGCGAAAAAGTCCGAGCTTACTGTAAACGATAAGGGGAATACTGACATCTTAAAAACTACACTAATAACTGGAACAGCCGGATGCATTGGAGCTGTTCTTGGCAGTCCTTTTTATATGGTAAATTTATTTACTATGTTTTAAATTACTCTGCACACTATAAGTATCAAGTACGTAATCCTAAGTATCAGTGACACGGATGATTTAATCAAAATTGATATGTTAATGTATCAAGACACATCGTTACAGTTTACCCTATAAATTAAACATGAACAATTCTATTTTAATAGGTGAAAACACAAATACAAGCACAATCAGCACAATCTATAGCTGTTGGTTATCAGCACAATCATGAAGGTACCTGGTACGCATTCAAATCTTTATGGAAAGAAGGGGGAATAGTTGCCTTGTATCGCGGCTGGCATGCCAACATACCACGCCTTTTTGTAGGATCTGCGACCCAATTGACTACTTTCGGATTAACTGCGGATTGGTTACGCTCACTAGAAGTGAGTATTTAAGTAAATATCGTAATATAAATCGAAAAATGCATCTGATCTTTCCTTTTTTTTTTTTAGGTATTTCCAAATCAACCAATACGACTAACTTTTTTGGCTTCCTTAATTGGCGGAAGTTGCGTAGCATTAACTATACAACCGTTCGACGTTTTAGCAACAAGACTGTACAATCAACGTAAGTATAATTGTATTTTAAAATTAATTTTTACGGATATTTGCACCAATATTTATATCAATAAATGTATAATCTTACATAGGCACAGATGCTGGTGGAAAAGGTTCTTTATACAATGGACTTTTGGATGCACTAATTAAAATATTCAGAACAGAAGGACTGACTGGCTTGTACAAAGGAATTTTTCCAACGTGGATGAGAATAGCACCGCACACTGTGCTGTGTTTAGTTTTTTATGAAAAATTAGATCAATTGTATGATAGAGTTCGAAGTTAACATTAATACGAGAATAAATTTTTTAGAAATGTGGGACGAAAAATTTTATAATTTTCGAACTATTATATAAGTATGACATGTACAAAATAATAAATGAATTTCTTATATGGGCAGTTATTATACATGTTTCATAATTTAGTTAATTGTATGTACATAAAACACGGTCGACTCGATTGTCCACAATTTTATGATAGTGTCCAGATGTTCTCCATTATAAGATACTAAACACATTTCTATCGTACCTTTTCCTAATAATTGGTCCTTCTGTGGTTCAAAAATATTTCGTTAGTATGGTCGAAATACTTAAATATTTGTAACTGTTTAAAGCTGACAAAAAAATATAATGTCGTCAGCATTGCACAATTTGTTGATGAATTGACATTATTCCTTAGCATACAAATAGCTTAAAACGAAAGTAGTAAATAGGACTGCAGTAAAATTTTTATCTGAATAGTATAAAAATTCATGTACTTAAATAGTTCTTACTAATTAAATATTTATACAAAATTTATAATCGAAAAATTTTAAATCTATCTATCTGTAAAAATATCGAATCGAAATGATTTTTTCATGTACTAATTTTTTTAATTTTAGCGGCACGAGTAGAATTTGGCCTAGATTTGAATCCTTGACTTATCGATGCCGCTACGTCCATTGTACTTCTTCCTCTTGTCTCGGGTAAATATTTCCTAAATACATTAATGTTATATGTTACGCTTTAATTACTTTTAAATAACATATTCTAAATATTTATACTACGTACCTAACGATTTGTGCTAAAAGTAAAAGGAATCCAACAAATATTAAGAAGGTGTATGCTCCTATAATACTTTCTACTGTTGGAAACATCATGCCAACTATAAAATTTCCACCCCAATTAAAAATACTACCCAAGGCCATAGCCACTGGTCTGGGACCAACATCGAATAATTCAGATCCGATGAAGTAAGGTATTGGACCAAGACCAATACCATAAAATATCACATAGGCCAAAACGGTGACTGTACACACAATCGGCATACGCGAAGACACATGCTGCAAAGATATAAATAATTATTTCATAAATCTTTCTAGCCTCTTTTAGAAGTTATCTTAATTAAAATAATTTTACTTACAATTAATAAGATAGAAGTACATAAAACTAATAAACATCCGAAGCACAAGTAAATACTGGTGAGTAGGACACCTCTTCTATTTAAGGATGACATCACTGGTACCGAGACAAGAGCCATAGCAATATTAGCTACACCAGTTCCAAGAGTAGCATACTGTGCTCCAGTGATGCCAAGTCCAGCATCGACGAATATAAAGTTCGAGTAGTAAAATACAACGTTTATACCACTCATTTGTTGTCCAAACTGTATTATACAAACTAAAAATATAGGAAGCCTTAAACTTGGATCTTTTAAAATACGTTTGACAGTCCAAGGTTCAACTGTCGTTTTCATTTCTATTTCCTGCTGCAAACTAGAAATCTCCACTTGTAGTAACATTACATCCATGTTACGTATCCTCCTGAGTTCTGAAATATTAAAGCAATGTTTCTTTCAATTGTAATTATATTATTTACCACAACACTAACATTTACTAACCATCTAAAGCTTTTTGTTTCTGCTCTTTAATTATGAACAAATATTTAGGACTTTCTGGTAAAACAATGCTCGTAACAACCAAGGCATACATACATAATGGGACAAATGCTCCTAACATATAATGCCAAGAGTTTTCAGTTCCCAGAACTGTATTAAGTCCTGCAATTTGTCCTAAGAACACTCCACCTGTGAGTCCTAGTTGACATAAAACTCCAACTGCACCCCTCAGTCTGAGTGGTGCAATTTCTGCCATGTACATTGGTACTAAACATGTCGCAAAACCTCCAGAAAAGCCTAAAAAATATATTTAGTTTTCCATATAAAAAATTTCACACAAGTTATCTGAAATTTCGAAAATTAATATTTTTGGACTTACCTACAGCTAATCGACCTGCTAACAAGAGTTCGATGGAATTTAATTTGCGTACTAGGAAAAACATAACAGCTCCTACAATGCCAAATATGTTTCCAATGCATAGGGCCTTTTTTCTTCCATACCTATCTGCTATCCAGCTAGATAAAAATGAACCAACTGCGCCACCAATCAAACAAATTGAAACAACAGTAGACCAAATTATTTTTAGACCATTATCAGAAACATCTACTCCATATCTTTCCTTGACACTTTCATTACAAAATCCTCCTACCAACTACAACACATATATATTTATTAGAAATATTTTCTTTTATAAGTTTCTAAAACAAGTACGTAGAAATACTAACATGGGCTGCATTATTTAATACTCCTATGTTAAATCCTGCTGGTACAGCTGATCCTAAGCAGCAAGTAACACCTGCTACAACTAATATGAGGGTCCATCCTCCTGGTGCCTAATGAAATTTTTAAAATATATGCTTTTATACTTGCTTTTGAGATAAAGTTACAAATAAGAATTACTGCATACTTATCAATATTTAACTTGTCGTGCAAAGTAAATTATGTTCAGATTTCTAAAGTAAAACAAAATTTTACAATAAAGCAGTTCCTATGTGTACAAGTTATTTGGAGCAGAAAATTACAAAATGTAAAACTGAGTGATCATTTGATAGTTAAATTAAAAAAAATAATAATAGGTCAACTGCTTCAATTCATTTTTTTTATTCACATTAAATGTGTTTTAAAGCAGTCTGAGAAGTAGGTTCAAGCATGAGATGTACGATAATGGAAAATAACATGACCTTTTATTAAGAATAAATTCTCTTTTAATTCTCATGTATGTATACGTTTTATATAGAATACAAACATGGCATGTGTGCGTTCTGATAAGATTTAAGCTGATTCCAACACACACATAACAGTGATACCCAAATCTTTCTACATGCACTCATATCATTGCTATTTAAGTTGAAAAAAGGGATTATATATGAAGATGCTATATCATGTAAAGTACGAATACTTTATTCAAATATTATGAAATCCTTGAGGCATACATAAAAACTTCTACATAAAAATCTTACAATCTTTTTTATCAATATAAAATAAAGTAACTTATAAAATACATTGAATAATTATACTTAAATTACCTACAAATTCCCTTATGTTTAAGGTATTTCATCAATTTATAACTGAAAGATTCAATTAGTTATAATTGTAAGATTCTTTGATTCAATGCGATTTTTATGAATAATGTATAAATTAATGAGCGATACATACTTTTGGTTTAAACTTTAGTTAATAAACTGTGCACTTACTGATTTTTCGTCGCGTGTGTCTGAATTGCATTGATGTGGACGTTCGGCGTCCGTAAGCACAGCAGTATGACTATCTGCAATTACGATTAAACAATCGTACATGGATATTTTATATGTACCTTAAAAAGTTAAGTTACCCTTTGTTATGAATGTATAACGTTAACGCGCAAAGACGGACGATCTCCTCGAATAATTTTAGATGTTATAAGTCTGGGTCAATACCTCGTACGGAAAACACATTTTTAAAATAAGTGTCGTAAAAGAATGGTATTTTGAAATAAGACTACGCAAAGAATATAAGATCAAAAGGTTTCAACAAATATTACCTAACGCCATGCTTCCAACAACACGTGTCGGTGACACGACGTCAGAACGGTAAATAACACTAGAAATAAAACGCTGTTGTTGGCATTACAGAAGTGTTGGCTTTGCTTTTGATGCTATTGCATGGCAAAAAAGATTGGACAAATTTTTTATTCACATGATGCAATTGTAGATGATATTGTTTAAGGTTGATGCAACTGTTCCGATTAAGTGAACGGCCGGAAAACGTACATTTGACACACGGCGTCTATTCTACCTAGCGTGCGTTTAATTAAATTACTTTTTCCTTAAAAGCATTACATACTTGGTCGGTAAACGCGTCATTTATAACGAGTAAATACTTTGATTCTGTTTTCAAATTTGACGAATACAAGTCGAACGATTCAATTTAGAATTAGCGTAAATGTAAAAACGATCCTATCGGATAGATACTTTTCGATGGAGTTGATAAATTTTTTTGCATTCTCGTTCCATTATAAATATCGCAAGAAACTTTGATTTTGTTTTTTTTTAAATTATTAAAAGATTCATACCGGTCTGCAAAAAAAAGGAATATTGCGTAGCTTAATTTAAGTATTTTCAATTGTTTTATTTGTTTTGTCAACTTCCTGGTCTACTATACAAACATATACATATAATGCTGCTGTAACAAAAGATATACATATACATATAGCGAAACCCTAAAGGGCAGTACACGTTTTCTATTTATAGTACTACATCGCGTTGACAATCTAATCAGACAATGGATATCCTTTTGACAGTGGTGAAGAACACTTGCCATATAAATATCACTGCAAATCTTAATTGCATCACATAAAGGAGATGGAGCTACATATGTAAACATCGAAGTGCAAGTTAGTCGATAATAATCATGCACGTGCAGTCATTATCTCGCAACGAAAAGGTCCAATGTCAACGGAAAGGACAATGTCAATGTTGATGGATAATTTAAATATACAGGGTGACTCCCGATTAAACGATCAAACTGCATCTATGAATACCTGCACCTATAAACTGCTTCTATGAGTAAAAATAAGATAAAAATCTTATATGAACATAGGTCTGCTGCAAACGCTTTATAAAAAAGTTATAATAAAAATATGAAACCTAAAATCAATAACGTTTCGGAACTGATGCTAATTCGCTCACTCATCATAACAGTACAGATATTTACATAATTCAATCTCTGTGTTATCGCGTTCGACTATTTCAAATAGTAAACATGGCTAGAAGGAGCAGATTTCATAAATACCGTCGTCTTATTATTACATTCCGACGAACTCGTTATTGACTTTAGGTTTCATATTTTTATTATAACTTTTTTATAAAGCATTTGCGGACCTATGTTGATATAACATTTTTATTCTTATTTTTACTCGTAGAACATACTGATGCAGTTTGATCGTTTAATCCGGGGACACCCTGTATAAGTAATTACATTTGTTCGATCTACCATTACGCTCATTAATATCCGGCCATTCTTTAGAACACTATGCATACTGAACTGTTTTAAAATTGCATAAAACGACTTGAGTTTTTTTGAGAAGTTGGAGAGATTAGTTTACTAGATGACATGATAACAAATTTTGAAAAATTGTAATTTGTGGGAATTGCGAAGAAAATTGTAAAGGTCACTTTTTACAACTTTTTTATCTGAGTTTGTTGTGAAAATTGAAAACATACGTTTTGCAGATCTGTGTAAATTATACATACATATGTATATGTACATGATGAAAATTTCATCGAAATCGGGTGATGCAGAAACAAGCGACAGGCATCGAAAGATGTAAAAATATCTAAAATTACAGTTACAAGCCGAGAATCGTGAAAATCTGCGACTTTCCGAATTTTTAACTGCTTGTAGCTCATAGCAACGTTAACTGCTTTCGATGAAATTTTCAACATGTATAATTGTTTTATATTTTTATATTGTATGTTTTAAATTTTTACTACATTCTCAGATAAAAAAGTTGTAAAAAGTGATCTTTACAATTTTCTTCACGATTCCCGCAAATCACAATTTTTTGAAAACTTTTTGTACACGTCATCTAATAAACTAATCCTTCTAACTTCTCAAAAAAGCTCAAGTCGTTTGGTCCAATTTAAAAAAAGTTATACTGTTCTGAAGAGTGGCTGGATATTAATGAGCGTACCTGTATATGATTTTTTTCTTATCGTACTGCTGCAATGACTTGTAATAAATATATAAAAATTAAAAAAAGGTAGGTCAATAACACGTAGATGTATCAAGTACACTTTCGTTGTCGGACCTAGCACAAATAAATTATTTATCACACGATACGATAAGCAGCATCAAACAATGTTTAGATGACCAGTTGAGTGCCAATTAATTCGAGATTTTAATTTCGATCGATCATTATCTTCTCTTATCTCTTCTTTTATTCTTTGTAACAAATTTTAACCCCTCTTTCCTTCTTTATTTGCCTTTGTATACATTATACTACGTAATTATATAGCATTTGTTACCCTACAACTATGTAATAATAATAATAATAATAATAAAAATGAACTGGGCATTGAACATCGGAAATAACGAATCGATTTTTACGTACCTTTATAGTCGTGCATGTCTTCAATTTCCGAATCGTAACACGAATACGACGATCTACATAAAGAAATAGATAATGTTTAAAATAATATAACACTCCTTAGAAGGATTTAAGTAATATGTATAATAGATCGTAATCGAATGCCATTTTTGCGGTTAGTTACTTTCTACACCTACATGTTACTTTCTACAATTACTTTGCACGAATTCAACATGCTTGGACAGTTTCCGTTACAGATTTAAAGCGTGTCTGCCTCATCGATAACGCGAGTCAATTATCGAAATTTATCGAAGGTTGAAAACGAATTTCCAACGATCATCGACTGTTTGAACCAGTATTTCTTCGTTCGGCTCGTTGTTAACGTAACCAATCACAATGATTCGTAAGGTAAATGCCTTTGTTCGCTTGTCTTGCTGGTGATAATAGCCCGAATACAGGTCATTCTTAACTTACTGAAGATCAACGGTAATACTACGATTCAAAACGTAACGTGAGAATGTTACACTTTCTAGATAACTAAAATCTACGCTTCTGTAATCTCTTTTTACATCGAGATAACATTTTACTTTCTATTTCGGCAGAAATTTTTCTGAAAATCTAGTTCAAGGGCCTATGCGAATAATTAACTAAAATTTTATTTACGGTTTTTCTACTTTGTGATCATTAGATCTGCCTGATAAAAAATGTGGATATATGACCATATTCCTTGAAATATTTCCCTATATACAGTTTTGAAATTTTCATTATAAATTTTCAACACGCTTTATTGTATTTAAAGTACGCAATTATGTTGACTAATCGTTCACGATATGAGTCAGGAAAAGTTTAAATAACTCACATCGCTTTTTGCAAGAGAGTTTTCTTCTGAGTCCCAGAATGCACAGTCGTCTAACAACTTCGTCACGCTGCTCGCGAGGGACTAGTTCAAATATTGTGAATGATTTCAGATGTCAGAACTCCCCACCCTTTTCTACCCTCTCCTATCCTGCCTAGCATTACGTATTTCTTATTTACTCGTGTAATTAATTCTAACCTTGATGGAACGCTCTTACGGGAAAATTTACGCGAAAGAACTTCACTTTTGCGTGAACACACAAGTTCAGAACACTAATCCAATTGTAGTTTGTGACTTCAATTTTACACTTTAGGCCACTTTTTTTAGACGAATAAAAATTATACTAAAACAAATCGCTTTCCTTTTTAGAAATAAAAATTAATTTGAAATTCATATGATTTAAGAAAAATGAACATTTTGGCAGGGTAAACGATGTAATTTGCAGCATCGTCACTAATCTAATTCCTTCATGTCATTCCCTGGGGTAAATGACTGACCGCGTATAATGCAGTATTTTTTTTATGACACGTTGTATTTAGTATCGTATACTTTTAACATTACAGATGTTGTTTCATGCGAAAATCGTGCGTACACGTACACTTACGAGATCATTCAAATTGTCTTCCCAGGGGACGCGGTGACAATTACATTTTTCTTTGTGTTTAGCGTGTAAAAGAAATTCCATGTACATATGTCACCCGAAAGAGTTTTTAGAGCAAAGTTTCACGTACAAGTTTTCCTTAGCGTACACAGATTACACGTTTTTGATATGTACAGCGTATGCAATTTGCTAACTTTTTTTCTCTTCTTATTTTTCTTTAAACATGAACTTAAAGCATCACACAGAAACACACACAATTTACGTAACCGATGACCAGTGTACCGTAGTGAATCGGACTATTGTACAATATTTATCTCCAGACTCGTAGTATGTAATGCTCCATTACATCAGTAACCAGTTAGCTGATTCGTCGAAGGAGAAGGAGTAAGATAAAAGTACGTGAAAGGAAAAATTGTTCTTCTTCTTTACGAGGAATTTATCTGTTGATAAATGTAAAGCGAAGAGCCTTATTACCACTACTCGTTACAGTGGTACTATTATACCACTGCATCAGAACATAATGCGGTTTTCGGTTGCGAAGTATTCGTAGACAAAATCCTGCATTGATCCTATTACGCTGTTTATTCATTCTTTTTCTAAATTATTCTTTCCTAATGGTATTACTGTCGTTTTAAGCTGAACTTCTGAACTTTGAGGCGATCCGAGATTTACCGAATTCCGTGAAAATGGCACGCAACGTCAACCAGTTATCGTTTATCTCAAGTGCAGTCCATCCTGTGATCTCCTTCTCCTCTGATTCCTTCGCTCAATGCCGTCAACAGAGGGTACTTGCCACAGCCACACTGCTCTTTGAAGTCGTCCAGATCCAGAGACCAGATCATGGCGCCGCCAAGATTGGAATCTCTTATGAATTCAGCCTAAAAGGAAATTATCCTTATTATTATATTTTATATAGTATCACCGTTAGGCCATTTATAGAAGACAATTACCTTTTTCTTTACACTAGACACATCCTCGTAGCTGACCCATTGGTCGTCCTTGGTGGCGTACGGTCCGACCAGACTCTTTTGATCTTTGACAACGGACCATTTTCTGCTTCTGACGTTATCGCATATCTGTGAACGTATTTGTGAAAGGTTGAAATCAGTGCAAAAAAATTCAGTGGAAATAGACAGAAAAAATAGATGATTTTATACTATTATATTTTTCTACCGTTTATCGTACTCTCGATAATCCGTACCTCGTAGTAAGCAAGCATGCCTGGTTGCTTAGTAAAGTCTCCTGGATATCCAGGTCCAGAAACTTCCACGTCCAGGCCAGGCGTCTCTTTCATCTGCGATTTTCTCGATAACTTGAAGCTTTGCCCGTAAGTTGGTATGCCCATTATCAGTTTACTCGCGGGCACACCTTGTTCCAGCCAGTACGTTATCGAGAAGTTCACGTTCAAATACGCGGTCTGCTCATTTTGGCTGCGATAAAGCGGGGCTACGAGGCCAGTCTTGCCTTCCCAGTAGCCATGATAGTCGTAGCTCATTACACCGAGCCAATCCAAATACTTCACCAACGCTGGAACGTAGTAGGCTAGATCTATGACCTCTTTGCTAGCTGAAACTGCAGCAGAGAGGAATAAACCTTTGGGTTTGAAAGCTGCATTTAATTCCTTTAACAGAGCTGCGAAAGCTTCTCTATCACTGGATGGTCCACGGCTACAATCGACCTGTAGAATTATAAAAACATTATTTCATAATGATTTCCAAAGGTAGAGACATGTAAAGATTGGTATGAGTAATTTTAAGCACCTGCCAGCATACTGGATACTCCCAAATAAGGTCTAGACCATCGAATCCGTGGCTTTGAATGTAATTAGAAGCGTGGCGAGCAAATCTCTGACGTTCCGATTTGCTATGTGCCAATCTGCTGTACTTGTTATCCTTAGAATCCTCCCAGCCGCCCAAGCCAACCAGAATTTTCAATCCTGTCTTAACTTTGATGTCTACTAGTTTAGTAAGAAGTTGTTTCTGATCTATACCCTGTAGATTTTCAATAATCAATCGTTTTGGGTCTAATGTAGCCAAACCGTAGACTATGTGAGTGCACAATTTTGTGTCGATGTCCTTAGGGAGGAATTGTCCAGATCTTGGTCGCCTTCGTGACCACTTCATTAGGTAGCAGATCACTTTCTTCTGGTCTGGTTCCTTCGTAGTGATCAGGGGCAGCAATTCATTGGACTATAAATTTAAAAGTAGTTATATATATTATAAAAGAGGAATTGGTTACATTAATATTCACCTGTCGTAGAGAGTCCTTGCATTTAGTGTTCTCAGGCCAGTCACAACGATCCTCATTCCAGAAGAGACCAGGGGGACAAGCGCGTTCAGTGAGCTTTCCAAAATTGCACAAGAAATATTTGGAACAATCTTTCTTATGTGGAACGAACAAACGATTTTCACAATCCTCGTGTGAAACTCCCACTAACGATGGTTCAACTTCCACTTCTTCTGCATCATCAATGTCTAAGTCTGAATCAGTAGACGTTGGTGGCAAGTATGTGGGTCTAGAAGAAGTTGTAACTTCCCAACTTGGACTTCCAGTGGTGGTTGTAGTGGTAGTTTCACCAGCATCGATAGTTGTAAAATCTATTTATAGGAATAAGAAATTTTCATCACTTGATTTTACTTGTAAAGTAATTTTTTAGTCTTTGAAGAATATTTACCATTCGTTATGGGGCACAATGGGCCTTTGGGGTAGTCCCTCAGAACTCTGTTCATGGTTCTGAGAAGTGGACTGGGTTCACAGTTGCATCTGTTCTTGAAATCATCCAAATCAAGTGCCCATACCATACCACCAGCTAGACCAAGATCTTTGATGAATTCTGCTTTCAATTTAATTTGTCTCGTATCGTCGAAACTGACCCACTGATCTCCTCTGTAGGCATATGGACCAATACGTCGTTGTTTATCTTGAACTACCGTCCAACCCTTTTGCAGAGTCCTTTCACAAATCTACAATAATTCAGAGAAAAGTTGAAAAAGAAACGTGATAAATATACACACAGGAAGAAAATGATAAGTGAGGTGGTAGAGTGTATACTTCATAATAAGACAAGAACCCTCTAGCTCTGGTCGCTTCTCCAGCTTCACCACCACCATAAGTGGGCGCGTTTAAACCTCTCTGACTTCTTTCCGCCAGGGAGAAGGATTGTCCGTACAGGGGAGCTCCCATAACTAGTTTATCCGCTGGTGCTCCTTTCTCCATCCAGTAATGAATCGAGAAATTCTACAAGACCGATAAAGCGACAGTGGAAAACGCGTCTGTGTTTAGGCCCGGTGCAGACGTGTTATATTGCGTCTTTGCGTTCCATGTGAATTGCTTCATATAAATCAAAGCTTTTTTAAAACGCAGCGTTAATTTTCCGCGGCGGTGACGCTGCCGCAAACCGTTCGTCTGCACCTGGTTTAATTATCACTCTGAAACGTACCGCGTTAAACGTCTGCTCCCAGTCGCTGGCTAACCCGTACAGAGGCGCGACGTGACCGGTTTTCTTGTCCCATTGACCATGGTAGTCATAGGTCATTACAGATATCCAGTCTAAATATTTTGCCAAGATGGGAACGTTGTAACCAGTGTCGATAACGCGTTTACTCGGGGAAACTGCTGCAGATAGTAATAGACCTTTTGGTTTAAATTCTGCGCTCAATTCTTCTACTAGACTAGCAAAGCCTTCTTTGTCTGAAGCTGGACCCTTTTTACAGTCTACCTGAAATTTGTTTAATTGATAAGTTTATTTTTTAAAATAGACATTTTAATTCAAACTTACCTGCCAACATACTGGATACTCCCAGTCTAAATCCAGACCTTCGAATTCGTATTTTTCTATAAATTGGATCACGTTCTCAATGAACCTACGCCTAGCTGATGGAGAAGTCACCAAGCGACTGTATTTATCGCCAGCGGAATCGTTCCATCCACCTATGGCCATTAACACTTTCACTCCTTTCGATTTCAAAGCTGCTACTTTCTCATAGAATTCTGAAAATGAAGTATAGAGGTAGGTAGGAAGAAGGAAGGATTCAGTACGAGATCAATTTGGATATTTACTGTTATCTATATCAGCCCAAGGATCATGGGACTTGATGATCAATTGAGATCCATCAAGAACGGCAAAACCATACAGAACATGAGTGCATAAGTCAGTATCTACGTCTTCAGGCAAGAATTTCCCTCCGTTCTGACGGTACCAGGCCCAGTTGGTAAAGTAGCAGATCATTTTAAACCTATCCACTGGTTTTAAGTGATCCTTCGACGTTGAGGATGATACAGGTACGTTAACAGTGGTGGGTGCTACAGTGGATGCTGTTGTAGGTGCTGGTGGACCTTGAGTCAAATCATCTTCGCTTATCTGTGGCTTCATAGCTATCGATAAATCACAGAATACTTCTTGAAAAAGAAAAATTAAATGACAATGAACAGATGAAGATTCAATGGATTTTACATTCTTCATCGTTACTAGGGGAATCAGCTAGGACTTCCTGTAGTGTGTGCATCAATGGATGAGGTCCTCCGCCACAGCGCCCACGGAAGTCATCTAGATCTAAGGCCCAGACCATTCCACCACCAAGACCCATGTCTCTAACATATTGAGCCTTCTTTTTGATCATCTCAGCATCATCGAAGCTGACCCATTGGTTGCCTTTGTAAGCGTATGGGCCCATTCTGTGCTCTGCATCTTGAACCACGTTCCATCCACGGTTTCTTATTCTATCACAGATTTCGTAATAAGACAAAAATCCAGCAGCTCTAGTGAATTCTCCAGCTTGTCCAGCACTGGCTGGAACGTTCAATCCACTTCCAACACTAGGATCATTTATGGAGAACGATTGTCCA